TTTTTTTTTTTTTTTTTTTTTTTTTTTTTAAAAGACAGGTCTGACTATTACTTAATTTCAGCCTGTAATTATTTAGATGCATTGTCCTTTGTCAGCGTAGGATCCAAGCGTAGGATGACAAACAAAGCAAACTTTAGTACGCTAAACTTACCTACTAAATCTATAATTATTGGTGTAGTTAAATCTAGTTGCCACATGCTCTCAGTTACTCCAGCTATGGAGGCACAGAAGTGTCTAGGCACTCGGTGAGGTTTCACTCGCTTTGAAAATGCCCCTTTGGTGGGGGAGCAATATCCTGTTACACATTCTCATCCCGAAATAGCCTGGACCTAGCCCTTTGCCTCCCCTGTCTCTAGCGCAGAGGAGGTAGAGCCACCAAAGCCACGCCGGGCAAAAAAACAATGTTCCATTTCGCGCAGAGGAATCTGCCCAGAGAGGCTGGGAATGCTTCGTGCCCGTGCTAATCTCTTAAAGCTCTGAAGCCGGTTGCAACTCCTCCTTCTTGCAGAGTAGATGCAGCCTTTAGCTTCCTAGTGAGAAATTGTCAAGACAACCCCAGCTTTAGATAACCACGGCCCACAAAGTGTTGCGAATTTAGATTACTTTGGGTTTTTGGTCGGCTGTGAGCAAAGGGGCTGGGAGCACGGGGTGCCTATCCCTGAATGAGCTGACCCAGAACGGCTGCGTCTTGTCTGTTATGCCCAGATGACCCAGACCCCGATGACGGGTTTAACTATAAACAGATGATGGTGCGGGATGAGCGGCGCTTCAAAATGGCTGACAAGGATGGAGACTTGACTGCTACCAAGGAAGAGTTCACTGCCTTCCTGCACCCGGAAGAGTACGATTACATGAAAGACATAGTAGTACAGGTGGGTGAGTTATACCTGGGAAGCTGTGAAAGAAAGAGTGCCCTCACGTAAGCTAATGCTTCTTGCAAATAGAATTTCAATAGAGTAGACGGGTGGATGGGATTGAAAGTCGGGGGCTCGTGTCTCCTTGGTCTCCCTGAAGGTTCCCCTAAGGCTGCATCCAGTGCTTTGCTGTCAGCACCTTTGGCAAAGGTGGCGCAGAGAGACTGCGACATCTCCCTCGTAGGAGGCTCCGGGCAGGCTAGACGGCCGCTTATCAGGAATGGGTGTGGGTGGAGGTGATCTGCGATGGCACTGGGGGCTGGACAAAATGACTCCTTCTGACTGCGGCCTTACGTTTTTTTAAAACTTCCTCCCTGAGGCTAACACAGTGCTGTGTCTGTGCTGCCACCCAGTAAGGTGGCAGCAAGGGTTGGTGCAGAGGGGACCTCCGTGCTCTCTGAGGACGGAGCACCTTGCTCCGAGCCCAACTAACCGGGGCCTTGTTGTTAAAGGAAACCATGGAGGACATTGACAAGAACGGAGACGGCTTCATTGATTTGGAGGAATACATAGGTGAGTGACTCGTTCCTCGGCTTTGCCGCCCTCCGTTTCGCTTTCTGTCCTTTCTCTGTGCACGGCCGTAAAGTAGTCTCCGCTCCGCGTGGCCGCGGTGCGGTCGGAGCTGTAGGCGTGTGTGCTCTTCCTGCCCTCCCCCTCCTGGAATTTCTTTATCTCTCTCTACTTCCTAACTTTAGACCTGCACTGCTCCTCAGTCCTTACTGCTGAATTCTGAGTTAAATCCATAACCAGTGACAGGCGCTGTTTGTTCGGGATAGCTGGTCAGAATACCAGTGTGGTTGCAGACCCCTAGACAGAAGGGAACATCTGTTCTAAATCTACGGTGTCTGCTCTTTAATGTGACGGGGCCTGCCAATTGTGGAGTATCCCTGCCTCTTCTCTTGGCAGCAGTGGGACATAGAACAGCTGCCCTTTTAACACTCATTATCTGAAATGGAAAGCTTTGGCATTGGATAAGGGTGGTGATAAGTACATCTGACTCTAAAATATGTTGATACAAACACTGCCTGTTTCTCCAAACTTATTTGAAGCGACACTTAAAATTTTGGGGGACAAACTTGCTGAAGTAAAGAGACTCAAAGTAAGTGGCCCCTTGATCCTTGAATCTGAGACGGAAGGGTACACCTCTGCCAGGCTGGCTGTTTTGTCATTGTGCCCTTTAAAGCAACGGCTTTAAAGTGCTCCGATTGCAGGGTTTAACCAGGAGTACCCCTGAGATCCGCCCTCCTGCCGGCTTGCGCGCGAGGGCGGAGGTGCGGGCGCTCATCTGCCTTGCCCAAGCTGTCTTGCTTCCCTTTTTGCCTTACTCATGTGGGACTGCGCTGGTGTCGGGATCCGCAGACTGTGTGTCTTCCAGGTGACATGTACAGCCACGATGGAGACACGGATGAGCCCGAGTGGGTGAAGACGGAGAGGGAGCAGTTTGTGGAGTTCCGAGATAAGAACCGCGATGGCAAAATGGACAAAGAGGAGACCAAAGACTGGATCCTCCCCTCGGACTATGATCACGCCGAGGCTGAAGCCCGGCACCTTGTCTACGAATCGGATCAGAACAAGGTGGGGTGGCACCTCCTCTCCTCGGGGCATTTGTGCTTAGGTACTAAATGTCTTCCAAGAGTCCCTCCAACTGGGACAAGGAGGGCTGCTGAGGATCTCTGATCCGTCTGTGAGAGCTGGGCCTGTCTCTCTAAACTTCGCAGCTCTGAAGCCTTCCTTTCCCAAAGATAAGGCTAATACCCTGTGAAATGGCTTGGCAAGCACTGTCCTTAAGTTATCCAATTAGAGTTCCCTCGCTGCTCCCCCCACGCCGGCCTGGGAGTGCCCTAGCCGTGCTCCTGGCAGGGTAGTTCAGCGCCGGATATCCCAGTAGCGTTTGGGGTTCCTGGGCGGCTTCTCGTCCTCTCGGAGCGCTTGGGGTGAAAACGCGGGCTGTTCCCGCCACTGCTGCTCTGGGGCAGTCGCGTGGGTTTCCTTGGGCAGGGTCAGAGGAGCGGAGTTGGTGCCGCGTGAATCTGAGCTTGCCTGTCTGCTCTGTTCTAGGACGGCAAGCTCACCAAAGAGGAGATCGTGGACAAGTACGACTTATTTGTGGGGAGTCAGGCCACAGACTTCGGGGAGGCCTTGGTGCGACATGATGAATTTTAAGACCTGTACAGAGAAATCTGTTTCTTAAATAATTTATTTTTTACAGTTTCTGGATTGTCATGAGAAACATTTTCGCTACTGAGACTGTTATTTCAGGCTATAAGGTGAAAAAACAAATCTATCCCGTCCTGTTTTCCTTTTTCCCAAAGGGATGGGGACTCGGTGTTCTGAAAACCAACTCTCATTATGACACTTTGTGGTTTTTAGATTTACACTTTGTTTTATGGTCTAACACGTTCTGTTTATTTTTGTATTTGTTTTGGTTCCATGTGAAGTGAAGAACACGTATTCTGAAAAATTAGTGGTAGAGCAACGGTAACGGCTCCCCTTGCCCTACCTCCCTCTCTCCCCTTTAATTTTTTTTTATGTACTTAGCTACACAGTCTTTTAAAAAAGGAAGAAAAGCCAGAGAACAATAGGGCCAATGAAAACAAAAGACAAGTACCACTTGTTTTAGACTGGGATATGCAAATCCAATCGAACAGGGCTGTAACGTCAGCTTGCAGGAAGACAGTCCATCTGCCTCGCGCAGATGCGCGCTTTGCTTCTCGCCTTCTGCTGCCAAGAGAAGTGCAGGTTGGGACCGATTCTGCCTGGGCTGGGCTGGAGAACGTGGGGATAGCCCTCGACTGTAAGCGCTCGACTTGCCAGCCCTGTTCTAGCCTCCCCTGAAAGAACCGGATTTGCAAACCCCATCTGAAACTACGGCTGGTGTGGCAGCAGCACGGCAAAGCTATGCCTGCTCTTCTGCCTGGCATTCCTTCAGAGGCCTCCGCTGCTGTAGCTGCAACAGCTTCAGCTCCTAGTAAGGCAAGTGTGATCAGGCACTTTTTAACTAGAAATCCTTCGGGGGGGAGGAGGGGGGGGGAGAGGAAGATGTTTTACACATGCTGCTATAATGCTTCAATCTGGAATGCTTTTGTTTAGTCCCTGGCTCTTTGCAAACGCAAATAGATTTGTAAGAGCGTAATGCAAAATTAATCTGTTAATCAAAATCACGCAGCTGTAGTAAACGGGCGTGATGTCACCCTGTGTGTTATACGTGGAAGTCCCCCAGGAGGAGGGAGCGATTTTAAGTTGGTCCCTTGCCTCGAGGGACGGCGTAGCTCCTGTAGATGCCTGCAGCTCGCCCCGTGGCATTAGGGCGAGGGAATGGGAAGGGCTCCCGTTCCTGTTTAGATTGGCCTCGACTTCTGCAAATTGGGTGTCGTTTGATAAGTGCCTTTGTCGACCAGAAGCAGTGCTAAATGTGGTAAAAGCAGCCGACTAGAAAACAAGGAGGCTCTACAAAACAGGAGGAAAAGCTCCCTGAACCTCGAGTTTAACCGTTGGGCACCTCCGCTCCTGTGCGGTGACTTAGCAGCAATTGTTCAGCGTGCAGCATTAAGCAGCGATCTCATCTTCACGGCCTTTCCCCTTGCGGTGTTTAACCATCCTGCTCCCGCCAGGCTTCCTCGGCCGCTGCGTCCTGCCGCGTGCTTTCGTGGCC